GGTAGAGTATTCCAGACATTGACCACTCTGTTGCTGAAGTCGTATTTCTTGCAATCAAGTTTGGTGCGGTTAACTTTGAGTTTGTATCTATTGTTTGCTCTAGTGTTGTTATGGTTGAAGCTGAAGTATTCATTGACTAGTAGGACATTGCAATGTATGATTTTATATACTGTACTTAGATTGGATCGAAGGTGGTGTAGTTCTAGCTTTTCTAGGTCTAGAATTTTGAGTCTGGTGGCATAAGGTATTCTGCAACAAGTAGAGGAGTGGAGAACTCTTGTGAAATATTTCTGGACTTTTTCAACTGTGTTAATATCAGATATGTAACGTGGGTTCCAGACTGATGAGCTGTATTCAAGTATTGGTCTAGCAAATGTGTTGTATGCTCTAGTTATTAGTGTAATATTACCAGAGAAAAAGCTACGTAAGATTAGGTTAACAACTCTTAATGCCTTTTTGGTTATGTAGTTACACTGGGCTCTAGCACTTAGATCATTTGAGATGAGTATTCCAAGATCCTTGACAGAGTTTGGATCATCAATAAGGTCTTGGCTATTCAGCTTCTATTTTATTTTCGGATTTTTTTTTGCCAATATGTAAAACAGAGTATTTATTTGTTGAGATTTGAAGTTGCCATTTGTTTGACCATTCTGATACATAGTCGAGGTCTTTTTGAAGGGTAGCAGTATTGTCTGTGGTATTGGGGGTTTTGAAGGGTAGCAGTATTGTCTGTGGCTTTACATCATCAACGAAGAGAACGCAGTTGCTCTTAATATGATCGCAGAGGTCATTTATGTAGAGTATGAAGAGAGTTGGTCCTAGAACACTGTCTTGGGGGACACCACTGTTGACAGGTACAGAATTTGATAGGATGCTCCCAATTTTGACTATTTGTTGTCTGTTTGACAGGAATGCTTCTATCCAGATATTCAGGTGTCCAGAGATACCGTAAGATTTTAGTTTTAGGAGTAGTTTGTTGTGTACCACTGAATCAAAGGCTTTACAGAAGTCTATGTAGATTGCGTCTATTGCTTTGCCCTGTTGTGTAGTCCATATGTTTTTGCAGTGTAAGAGTTGCAAATTGCTGGATAGTTTTTTTCTGAAACCAAATTGTTTATTGGACAGTAGGTTGTTTGTTTGGGGATAGCTTTTTTAATAAGTAGGCACATATTCCGTCTGGTCCAATAGATAGAGATGGTTTTAGATTGCATAGTGCTTTTTCAACATTTTCTTCTGTAAAATCAATATGTATTAGATCATTGTAGTTGTCTGTGGTTCGACTAGGAAATACTGGGCATGATCCATTGCTGTTTACAAATACTGCACCAAAGAATGTGTTAAAGAGGTTCCTGCTTGCTTTCTCTTGCCCTCCTAATTTCCCACCCACCTCTAGTTTCCCCCTCCCAGGCCAAAACACATTCCTAACAACTACTAGCACCACCTCTCACACTACACACCAACTCAGCCATTGTTAATCTAGGATCTCACAACGGCATCACCATTCATGTACTCCACAACTTGTATGGATCTGTAGCAAATTCTACTATCCAATACGAAAAATAATGTCTGTAGCTAAGGGTTTGAGCTATTCTTGATACTCTTCGAGCTTGGTTGTGTTCCTGCAGTTGCTTTACTATTGTGTTATATAGATGTTACGTTATCAGCGTAAAGGACAATTGAGTTTCCTGGTTGTTAATACATAGTCCCTAGCCCCAATAGTCATAGCTAGATTGTAGTTTCTTCCTCAATGGTTCTGTTATTAGCTGTTTTCTTTATTTCCTTTTTTTCTTGTGCGGTTTCCTGCTTATTTGGCACTGGTTGCTGGAAAGTGGGATAACAATAGTTTATATAAATTAATAATAATTTATGAAATATATAGGCTACTTGACTCCCAACAATTCTGGGTGATTTACAGTGGTTAAAATTATGCAGAAATCATTTCAGAAATCACATACACTACACACAACCAAGACAACAACAATTTAAAAACAAAAAAACAAAAAAACCTTGGTGAGAAAAAGAAAGGGGCGTCAGCCATCCTTGCAAATAGGTTGGGATGTGTTGTAGATTGTTTGCTTCCTTCTCAGCTTTTGCTTGTGTCTTTTAAATTGTATGTCAATGTATCTGCGTGTATATCTGTGTGTTTATTAACAACTGATTTGTCAGAATGCCAAGCTTCTACCACGCATCCTGTGGAACCACAGTACCCCCTTTCCTATCCAGGGATAAAGACCACATCACAAGTAATTACGGAGTTGCAGAGAACTCAGGGATCCAGGCCATCTCCAGGTCTAAGGGAAATGCCCAACCTTTACTTTGGGCAGCTGGTGAGGAGCACATGGAAAACTCAGGAGGTGTGCAGCTGGACCTCAATTGGAGCCAAGGCCTGCTAGCCACCAGCCATTTTATGTCCAGCCAGCAGGAAAGCTGCACTCCATCAAACCGCAGGGGTCTCTTCAGCCCAGCATTGGCTTCTGATATAATTCTCCTTCATTGATCACATGATCACTACTGCCCAGGGTCACTACAGTTTCAAGATCTCCCAAGGCTCTACAAGTCAGAAAGTGTGCTGGCAAGTGGTTTGATGGTCATTCCTGACTGCGTATATTGACCTAAGAGTTATCATAGCTGTCAATCACAGCAAACAATAAACAATTCAAAATAAACGACATCCTAACAGGCTTTGATCCTTCCATAACTAAAGCCCATTTTCCGATACCACTTTCTGCTGGTGCCGCTGGTAAATATTACAAGAATGTGAACAATTTTTTTTTCATACTGACTAGCAAAGATTCATAAGTATTGGCAAAAAAATAAATTATTATTAGAAGTATTCAAATGCCGAACACACATGTTCCAGATTTTGCAGCTATTAAACTGTGCATGCCCATGTCTCATTTCCTAGCTCCAAATTTCATGGGTTTTTTTTCAATGTATTTAGCAAAATATGTTGGAATAGAATGGAATAAATACGTAAGTAAATAATAAAGGATCCCAGTTTCTGTCTGTTGGCCTTTCAAATATTGGTGTTTTCAATCATTCTACCTCTCAGTTTTAGTTTTAGAGACAATATCCCTTGTGAATATATTTTTTGAAAATAAATCTTTTTACCAAAAAGATAAATGTGACTGTTTTAAATGCACACTCAGGAGATTGTATAATTTTTCTCTCACTTCAAAGGCATTAGAGTTATAGTAATTTTGTTGTTATTTTTAACAGGTTACATGACTCTAGCACAGGAGGCAAAATCAACTAAGAAATAGTAGTTCAATCTAGATATTTTCTAGCAAAAGAGAAATAGTCTAAAAAAGTTGGGAAAGATGATGATCAGACGTGTTCCTGCGTAACACGTCAAATGAATATTCCAGGATGCAAGAATTGTGCAATGAGGTTCCTTCTAATTATATGGAAGGCAAAATATCGGAAAATTAAACTTCTGAATTTGGCAGAAAGCAGGGAGATGTGGGGGGAGGGAGCAGGAAACATGAATACTTTTTGAGCATTTATTTATGAATGAAAATGGAAATACCACTGACCCTCTGCTATAGTCCATCATCATTACCACATCACCATCACCATCACCAAAAATCCTGATTTTGGGATACTAAGCTGCACTCTCTTCCTCAAAAATCTCTCCACCAGTAGAGTTTGGGCTGTATTCTCTACTTGGCTGGACAAGTTAAATCCCATGTAATGAGGCTTAACCCCCGCACTGAGCCTCAGAGAATCTGGGCAGGGGGCCAACCAGCAAGGCCCGTATCCCTGGGGAGCGGGGAGCAGGATTAGCACAAGCACCAGCCCCCTCGCCGTCCCTCCCCCACCCCCGGAGCAGTGGCAGCATCAGCAGCTGTTGCAGCCAAAATTGCTGGAAACCAACCCTCTCCTTAGGCGCTCTCCCTCGCTCCCTTTCTCTCACACACTCTGTGCCAATTTCAGTTCCCCGAGGCTTCGGTTATGCTGGCTCGGGTCTCTGGTCTGGAGCCAAGCGCCTCCAGTCAGCGCCAGAGGAAACACTCGGGTATCGGCAACGCCCTCTGTCCGTACAGGTAACACACGCCCACGTTGGCCACCTTTGCGGCGCTGCTTCAGTGCTGCCCGCCTACATCTCTTTCCCACGTCCGCCTGGTCACTCCGCGCCCTTCCCTTCTTTCTTGTCCGGCCTCTGCTGACCTCACTGTGAGAACAATCGGTTGGATGAAGCTCCGCCTGTTCCCGGGCGGCCAGTTTCTGAACACAACTCGAAGGCTGGGGAGGTGTCGAGGTGAAAAATGCGGCCGTTGCCACGAAGGCCACGTGTGCATATCCGCTCAGTATTTTGCCGGTGATCCTCCAGGCGCCCTCCAAGCGAGCAAAGTCTGAAGAGACTCTTCTAAGCTAACCAGCGCTGTCAGCTGGCCCCATCCCGAGCAGGGGAAGTCGGTCCCGCTGAATTTCACGGGCCAATTCGCCAAGAAGTGAGTCCGCTCCGTTCAGACTGGAAAAGAGAGTGAAGCAGTCCTTCTCAGTCTGACGCTGCTGTCCAAAATATTGGACCAGCTCTCTTCATTTGTAGCCAAGTACAGTTCAAGAGCCAACATCTCGGAGAGACATCAAGAGGGTGATGTCTAGTGAATAGTACAGAATTGCAGCACCTTTCGGGTTCTGAAGAATAGCAATTTCATTGCAGCAATCATAATCTGATTCAACATTTACATTAAAATTGCATTTCTATTTTATGATTCCACTTCCCAGTTCTTGTATGAACAGTTGGAACAGGATTCAAATAAATCTACCCAAGACTTTTGGGTTGCTGTATGATTAAAGAACCAAGCCAATGTTTTCCAACTCCCAGAATTCCCAAGCCAGTAGGCAAATCATTATAATAAATCTATAGAGTTTTCACACAGGCTGAAGTTAACACTAGCTGTAAACATTAATACATTTCCTTAACTCTCCCCTTTTTTAACCCTCTTTCCAAGCAAAGACTTTTATGTGTCATTTAATACATAGTGAGATAAAACTATGTTGACTATATGTCCAGGAACATTTTCAAATGAAATGTTTACTCAAGATATTAAAATGAAAGCAGCTGAAATGCATTGTAATGTAGGCTATTTATTCATACACCATCCATCTTCTAATGGTTTTCTGTAAATACTGTACAATATCATTGATGTGCTATAATAACAGAACTGGAAAACAGAAAAGCTAAGATGGTGTTCTTAAAAGGCTTCAGAGAGTAAACTTTGAGTAAGAGAGGGCTTGTTTCATTGCTTGAGCAATACAATCCATTGTTTTATAAGTCTATAATATATAATAAAATCAAAATCATGAATTTGAGATGGGCAGTCATAGAAATTGAACTGTGAAATTTAAATAAAGGTACCAAAGCTGGAAGGGTTGTCAAATGCTCCCATAGGAACTAATGCTTTATGTTCAGGAAACACTGTGTAAGACTCTGAGTTCAGAAAAAGAAGTTGGATGGTCCCAAACAATTGTAGTTTCTTCAGTAAACTGTAGTTAAGCAGACATGACCTAGTGCACTTCTCAAGCCATTGGGGGGTGGGGGGGGGGGGAGTGGCTGATTCATAACAGATAGAAAAATTCACAATAGCCCAAATTCTTGAGAGGATGGAAAAGTGCTTCATAAAAGAAGCTGCCGAGAACTATGTCTCTCTTGCCCTCGCAGTTGTTTCCCAAAGCAGCTTCGAAAAGGGCGCCTCCGTTGAGGAGAGAGGTGGGCACGCCTGACGCTTTGGCACCCAACACCTGCAGGCTGAGCTGAGGCGCCTTGCAGGGCCGCGCGCGACGGTTTGTTTAGCACAGCTGGCAACACACACACACACACACACACACACACACACACACACACACACTCTCACTCACTCAGAGGCGGGAGCGCGCACTGCTCCCTTTCTGGGCTCCCCGAACTCCGGTCCATCCGTCCCTCGGATCCGGGCTTCCAGGTTTCCCGCCCAACCATCACCAGGCGAGCCCGTGAGGTCAGCGACGGCGGCGCGTCGAATGAGCTGTCTGGGCTGAGCAAAAGGGGTGGCCGGTGGGCGGGTGGCTCGGGTAGGCGCAGTGTGGGGCCTCGCTGAAGGAAGGAAAGAGGGAGGGAGGAGGGAGGGAGGGAGATCGAGCGCCGCCACCGTCTTCCTCTCCTCCTCTTCCAAAAGAGGCGTTGAGGAGGAGATACCCGCGCGGCCCCCCCCCGCCCCCCCTCGGCTCCTTGTTCCTGTGGGGCAAGGGAAAGGGGGCGGCGACGCCTCCTCGGGAAGGCGACGCGGAGCCCTTCCTGGCGGCGTCCGCGACGTCTAGGGTGGCTGCTCAGCAACCGCCACCTCAGGGGATGGGGGAGGGGCCGGGTGGGCCGTCAGTCAGCCGGGCCGTCAGTCACAAGCAACACCCTCCGAGGCAGAGCCGACGCTACCTCTCCCCCTCCCCTCCCCCTCCTTCCAACTTCCTGGCTCGCGGCCGGGCCTGAGGGAGAGAAGGGAGAGCGGCCCCAGATCCCCCCCCCCCCCCCCCCCCGTGACACCACAGACGCACATGTATGCCACACGCGGGCGCGCGCGCTCTATCTCTCTCTCACACACAGAGAGAACCATAATCCCCCCCCTCCCCCGGGCGCGCCTGTCTGCCCGCCCGCCCGCCCTCCGTTCTCTCTCTCTCTCTCTCTCGCTCGCTCGCTCGCTCCGTCTTTCCTCAGCAGCAGCTGGAGGAGCTGTCAAAACTTCATCTCCGGCTGCCCTCCGCCCTCCCGGGCCGCCGCCTCCACTTCCCGGCAGGGCGGGGGAAGGGCGCCGGTCCAACATTACAAGGAAGCAGCGGACTCCTCAGCCGGAGCGCAGCTCTCGAAGGCCGCGTCGCCCTCCCCGCGAGCGCGCCCCAGAGGAGAAGGCGTCGGCCGTGCGCGAGGGCCGTCGCGGGCCCTCGGCGCCCCCTCCCTTACCCTCCCCTCCCCTCCGTCCAAGCCTCTCCGAGGGGTCTAATTGCGTGTAACTGAGGCGGGCCCTCCTCTCCTCCTCCCCATGCAGCTACCTGCGCGCTGGTCCGCGGCGGCTGAGGCCAGCAATGCGAGCCGGAGGTAGAGGAGGCGCAGGAGGCGGTCGTGGTGGCCGAGGACCCGCAGGAGAAGGGGAGCCGCAGCAGCCGCCGCCGCCGCCGTGGCCGTTGGAGCAGGAGGAGCGTCGGGATTGCCCTCGTCCTCCCGCACTCTCGCCGTCCCCGCTCGCCACCCTCCATGCTTCTCCCCCGTCCTGCTGACTAGGATGTCAACCGAGCAGCAGAGCCTGACGACGACGACGACGACGCTCCGCGAGCCGGGGGCTTCCCCCACGGCCGCGGCCGCCGCTACAGACAAAAGACCGAGGGGCCGGCCTCGTAAAGATGGCGCTTCCCCTTTCCAGAGAGTCAGGAAGAAGTAAGTTCCGTGCGGGCGTCGCTGCGGGCTAGAGGAAGCCCGGAGGAGCGCTGTCAGCCCCGCCGGGGCGTCCGCTCTCTGCTCGGCTACTCCGGCTTGCCGTGTCGCCAGGCCCCCGGCTCTTCTGCCGCTTCCTCACCTGTGTCATTTTGCCCTGCCCCGCTTCTCCCTTCTTTTGTTTTTGTCCTTTCCTTGCCCCAGCCACCGTGCCATATTGGGAATGGCCCGTCTCCTCATCTTTCCCTCCTCTCCCCTATCTACTTCCTTCCCCCCTTTCCCCCTTTGTCACCGTCTCCCCACCTTCATTTCCCTCTTGCTTTCAGCTTCCATTCCCCTTTCTCTCTCCCTCTTCTTTAACACCGATAAGAGCTTTCCTATCCTTTTTTCCCCCTACCACTTTATTCCTCATTTGTCACCCTGCTATATTTTAATCTAGTTGTTTAATTACTTCTAGGTCCGTCCCCATTTTTAAAATTCCTAATCATCTCTTTCTTTAAAAAAATAAAAAAATAAACTTATTTTGAAGTTATTCTCGCAGAAGTGGATTACTTCCCTTCCACCCTTTTTGTGGTGTACATTGCAAATCCACCAACCTTAGGCATGTAATTGTGTAATGGGAAGCTCCTCCCCAGGAGCTGTCAAAAGCCACAGCGAGGGGTATACACAACTAGCAGAGAATGGCTGGTGGAAAGACTGGCTTCTTTTGGCTTTGTTTCTGATTCTGCCATATTTTTCTACTTGCATCCCAAGAGTTAATGTGCTGAAATCAAACTTGTGTCTCATTCTTGCAACACGAGTTGATGTAAGTGTGGGTCATCCTGTACTTTGTATTTGGCAGTGGATCAGGCGGTTTGGGTTTGCCAGGAAATAGAGTGTACAAATATATTTTGTATAAAGGTTCAGGACTGTTTTAATATTGCTCTATATACAGTATTATGTTAATTTGGGCTCACATAATTTACGCATTAAGATGCCTTTGTGCTCATTTTTGAAGAGTGCAATTTGCCAGCACCCCCTACACAATCCCACAAGAGCAATGATTTAGTTTGGACAACTAGCAAACATTTTAGATTTTATCCCAAACAAAAGCCAGCGTGCTGTACTTGTTTTCAAAAGTTCAGAAATTGAAAAGCTACGTAGGAAACCCTATAAACCATCTTTGTACCACCCTACATAATATTGCTGTTTATATTGCTGTTTAATAATCTATCCAGTTCCTGTGATACTGAGTAAAGCAAGCTTTTATCCTCAAGCAAAATCTACACTTATGCAAAAAAAAAAAAAAAAACCTACACAGTGACAGTATCTTTCTTCCCTGTTTCCAGTACATTACAAAATGTTTAGAAGACACTGTATCTTTGGTTAAGGGAGGCATTTAGTCTGTCAATTGATTTTCAAAGCACCAGAGTACCATTCAGTTTTTCCCTGTCTAGTGTTCTTCATAGTCATTGTGGCTACAAGTTCTGGAACCCATGGTTCCAGCAAAAATGGAGAACAGGCTGGATATTTTTTTCTATAGTTGGTATTTGACAAGTAAAGTTTACAATATCTTATCTGCTAGGTGGTAAGACCATGATGCAAGAGAAGTTATATCCTTCTATGACTGAAATTGCTTGCATGTATACAGTATGCATAAAAAAACCCTATGGAAATTGCTGCACAAGGCAATTCTTTCAGCAGATCTGTATTTTTAAAGTAGTGCTTTAAATTTAAAGTGTATGAAATTTCATAATGCATTCAAGTTGATTACATTACCATTATAATTGCATATTCATATTCATAGTTTTAATTTCTTATTAAGTGTTTTACTAAAATGCTTTTCTTTTTGGATTAGTTTGTATATAAAGTTAGTTGTAACATGCATTTCTCTCTGCACTGCGAATTAGTTGCATGTAGCATACTGATCTTTTTCCTTAAGAGCTAATATTTTTTAGAAAGTGACCACAGATTGTTTTAAGAATTCCTACAACAGCAAGAATTAAAAAACAATTGTATTTTAGTGATAATTTAAATTTAGAACACATTCACAGTATTTATTACAAATTATTCCTAATTTGATAGTGTCGTTTGGAATAACAAGTTATTTTCCCTCTGTTTCTACCAGGATTGCAAAATAGATCCAGATAAAGTATTTTTGCTAATACATCTTATGCATTTCTACCTGCTGTTTGAACTATTGCTCACTTTCTCTGATTACTTACTACTTCCTTTCTTAATACAGCTGTTTTTATTTGGTTCAATATGTGAATTATGCATTTTATTGAATGATACCCATGAGTGATCTTTTCATCATAGAATACCTCTTCCCATGGAGCAGAAAATGTTTCCTTTTGCAACAAACTTCGGGAATAAATCTGATAATAGGAACTGTAAAGGACATGGATCACAGAAATGTATATAATTATTCCTTGTTTGGCTGACATTTACATTCCTAGACCAAAACAAGACTTGTTAAATCTTACCTGTTAAATGTTTTCAATATTTGAAATATGATGGCATATATGTAAGGCATCATTACTTAAAAATAAGTCCTATTGTAATCACTACAATTATTTCCAAGCTTCCATAGTCAGTTTTGTAAAATACTTCAGTTCAGGGGTTGCCAATCTTTTGGACCTCAGGGACCACCAAATTCATAATTTTAAATCCCGTGGACCAGAGACCCTGGGAAAATCCCCAAAAAAGTATGTAGGAAAAATTCCCCACCCCATTTTCCTACCAATCGATCATTCTTTATTTGGGATCTCAGGATACCGTCTCCAGCTCTGTTTTTTTTTTTTTTTTTTTTGGGGGGGGGGGAGAAAGACTTTTGGCTTTATGCAAGAAAAGCAGCAGAAGTCTCTCTTTCTCTCCCCCAAACTCCACCTGAAATGAGTCTTTGTGAGACTTATCGCGCCAGCACAGCCTCTTGGAGCAGGATGTCTTGCAAGGTCCCAAAGACTCATTTCTGGCAGAGTTTGGGGGAGAGAAAGAAAGACTTTTGCTGCTTTCTTGTGTGCAGCCAAAAGCAGAAGAAAGAAGCAGAAAGAAGCAGCCCGGTGGTCAGACGAGGCACGTGGGGGGAGTGGGCAAGTTTCCCCACTCCGCCCTTTCTCCACTCCCCTCACTACCTCATGTTGTTCGCAATGCAAGCAATACAAGCCTTGTGTTTCTGCGGGTCATGTGGGCGGCGCAGTCTTGTGTTCCCGCGCAGGCTGGATTAATTGCTTTGCGGGGTGCTTCGGGAGTGACATTTCTCTGTGGACTACCAAAATTTTCACGTGGACCACCAGTGATCCCTGGCCCACTGGTTGGCAACCACTGCTTCAGTTGGTAGATGGATGAATGGATGTTATGCTACTATTTGCTGTTTAAAAAATGTACTTCAAGAGGTTTACAGCATTTATCTAAAACCAAAAAGGAACAATTGGCTTTTAAAACAAATTTTATGCCTGTTGATCCCTGACAATCAAACTTTTTATCCGAATTGTATGGACACAAACCTGTCACATACATTGTGTGGTTTGATATTCGTCAGTTTCCAAGAAAATACTTGCAAGCCACTATATACCTCGTTATCTTTTTCAACTCAACTTGTACATTAATTAAAAGATATTATAAAAGCTGTAGAAAATGGTTTGTCCCAGTATGCTAGTTCTAACTACTTAATGGCTTACAGATCAAACCAATGTCTTTGGTTGCATTGTTAATATATATGAAGAATATAGGTCTTTGGAGACATGTTATGTACAATTATATGCTAACTCTAGCTTTCTTATATTCTATATTGTTAAACAGTTTGGCTTTCTATTATGAAGATTAGTTCATAGTTCATATCAAATAGATTAAGTGTATAAGTAAAATTACAGTTTTCTACTTTTGATATGGTAAAATCATGAATGATACATGGCCAAGCTGTGTCTAACATGAATTGCAGCCCTCTTTAAAGATGAAACAATCAGAAATAGCTGCTGATTACTGCCATTACCTTTAGGTCTGGTGATCCCAGGACTATTTTTTCATTAGTGCCTGTGTGATCAGGGGACACAGAGCCCAATTTGTTAGTTTCTTGTTATGGCTTATGAAAGCCATATGAGATAAATAACCAGGGCCATCTTTTAGGATTAAAGAGGTGTTAAATATATGCACCCATTATTTTCTAATTTCCAATTTCATATTTTCAACATAACTATAAATTTAAAGTATATAAAATCTTATCATTTCTGCATCCATACCAGTAGGTTTTGAAACTATGTTTGCGGTATTAAATTTCATGCAAAAACTATATTTTAAGCTTCACATTTTAAAACTGTTGTCATTTTGAATACCAGTTGTTTAGAATCTAACTGAAAAAAGTGATACTTTTAAAAAGACTTTCTAATTTGATGTGATACACTATGAATTAAGAATTAAGTTAAAATTAAGATAGAATTAGAATTAAGATAACCTATTTTGATATACTGGAAAATGCTTACATATATTGCATATGGTAACTTTAATATTGCGCACCTCAGATAATAACATGTGACTAATGGAAAGCTCCCAAAGAAAGGGATATTTGGAAATTTGGGGTGTTTATACCTGTTTACTTTTGTTGTGTGATTTTAAAAAAGATAGAAAACAACAGTTAAGATTACTTAAGGTTTTTTTTTTTTGCTAATCTGCACAATATATAGCAATCACATTTTATTGTGAAACAACCCCATTGAATAATATTCTGTGACTAAATCAACAATAATAAACAATATCCACCCCTTTTTAATCTCTCCTGTAATTAAATGAATTTTTGCATATATTTTTCTCCATTGATACTCCTAAGGTCTATTTAAGCATTTCATTCCAGCTAGTAGTATTTCAGAAAACTTAAGGTCCTCAGGCTTTTGGAAATGAATATTCAATACCATGTTCACTTCCTATTCAGTCCTCAGTCAGAGCTTCGACAGGTTTACCAGCTCTATTGATTAGAAATATACAGTATTTAGGAATCCCCCTAGAATCTATAATCTTTAGTTATATATCATCTTAGTTTCCTCATTTCAACAGAAGTTCTGAATCCCTCCATTATATTTGTTTTTCCACAAATATAATCAACAGGCTGGTCTACCTATTTGTATTGGAAATGAATGCAAGCTTGCTTATGATGTTACTTTTCATAGCCATCTAATTATGAAGTGAATGTAAATGTGGGACTGCCCCTCCTTGAGGTTATCTGATGCTCATTCTGTTAAGTTAGGTAAGGTCTGCACACTCCAGGTCCCTTCCCTGAAATCTTGTTACCTGATGTGTGCCTTCTCAGTGGATACTCTTTTAGCCTTCTGGAAGGTCAGGGCCATGAAGATTTGGCTCTTCTCCCAAATATTGGGCTATGATCGGGATTGAGATGGGAACTTGTTTGGTCTGGTGCCTGGGGAAAGGGTACATTTATACAGTATTTAGTTATCTTCTTTTAAGGATTGTTATGAACCATTTAAAATCATTATATGAGATAAGTAGCCATATAAGTCTTATATATGCACACCTATAGTTTCAGTTGTAGAAAGGTTGTATATATGTAAATTCACTGAGAGATCCAGAAAGAGGTAAAAAAACCATGTAAGCAATATTTGATGCTTTCAAGTAGCAGTTACATTCTATCCCACTAATATCTAAATGTTTCATAGTCTTAAAATGAAAAATATGTCCCAAATGATGAGATGGGTGATGTGGTTACAGATAGTAAAATGAGTGTGAAACTAGGTTCTTTTATTAGCTGTTATGTCCTTACATTTTTGCAGGTATTAAAAAATAAAGAAGTAGATTTCTTCTATGTATTGGAATACCTTAAATCTTGGAAAAATAGCTATTCTTTATTAACATCTATGGCACAGAAAGAATTATTGATATTGGGATTAAAATGTTTTTATTTGTAATTTTTATTTTTATATGTGTAATTTTATTTATTTTTGCTTTCCAATTACATTTTGATTTTTTAAAATATTATGGACATTCCACAAAAGATAGTTTCAAAAACTTTGAAATAGATAGTTAAATAATCCTCTCATAATTAATATTTTTTAAAACTATCCTCTTCCTTCTGGTCTGTAATGAGCTGGATTTATTATTTTTTGCAAATTAAAATAGTTGTATATTGCACCAGACACCAATAAGTAGGCTGTAGTATCTTCCAGCAGATAAATACAAAGGTAAAGATAAATGGACTCACTGGAGAAGAGCCTAATGCTGGGAACGATTGAGGGCAAAAGAAGAAGGAGCCAGCAGAGAAGGAGGTGGCTAGATGGAGTCATTGAAGCAGTTGGCATGAGCTTAAATGGACTCCGGGGGATGGTAGAGGACAGGAAGGCCTGGAGGAACATTGTCCATGGGGTCAAGATGGGTCAGACATGATTTTGCAACTAACAACAAAAAATATAAAGATAAAGATAATACTAATATTAAATATAAAAACCTAATAGAATTAACAACAACCAGAATTGTTAGCAATATTTAAAAATCTCTAAAAAAAAAACCCCAGGTAGCTATCATTCTGGATATTCTAATGGATTGATCCTTGAGGTTATTATTTTATAGTAGTTCCAGTACTTTCTGCCTAAAAAGGCAGATGAAATGTGTGTGTGTGTGAAGGCTACTATATAATCCCTATTGACCTGGGTATTCCACAGGTTACCATCTTCAACATCATATAAATCTTGCAATGAGGGGCTCTTGGTCTTCTCTGAGCTTGCTTGTTTTGTTGCACATGTTTCATTACCCAAACTAGGTAACATCATCATACTAATGCTAAGTCTTAAGAGTGTTAGAATCATGATATGGACCATGTTTTTTTTTTTAAAAAAAACCCTACTGGTAACTTTCAAGTAAAAAGGAAGAGCCTTGGTGGCACAGTGATTAGAGTGCAGTACTTCAGGCTACTTTTGCTGACAGCCGGCTTCCTGCAATTTGGCCGTTCAGATCCCATCAGGCTCAAGGTTGATTTGGCCTTCCATCCTTCTGAGGTGGGTAAAATGAGGACCCAGATTGTTGGAGGCAATATGCTGACTTTAACCACTAGAGAGGGCTGTAAAGCACTGTAAAGCGGTATACAAGTCTAAGTGCTATTGATATTTCTAATTATTTGCAAAGTATCATCTGTCATGTCAACGTGTAGCAGAGAAAGGTACTTTTTTAAAAGCTAGAACTGTGTAGCTTGGGAATAAAGCTAAAAAAATATTCTTATTTTGCACGTCCCGCTTTCACTTGCATTAGCATGACATCATGAAATCCTGTCTTTTCCCCTATCAAACATTTTCTGCTAGAATTCAGTTTTGATGAACTTCCAAGAAATCATTAATGTGATTGCTAATCTGTCCTCGGGGCTGAGGTTATATCATAAATTGGGCCAGAAGTAAGAGACACTTTTTTTCAACCCTCCTCCCATAATTTAGTTCAAATAAAATAGTCCAGATGGATCAATTATACTTAGACAAGCTATCTGGAGGTACTTGGGAACCAAGTCATGGACAACTTTCATGAGTTAAAAATCAGTACTTTGCAGCTATAATTCTGTTGGCAGCTAAGCCAATTGGAAAGCCCAAAGGACAAGTGTTACATGGGTTTGGAAGTTTTCATTCATCAGTAAAACGTCCTCTGCATTGTACATGGTTTTCAAAAACAGCCCTGAATAGACTGCATTGCGGAAGTCCAGATGTATATGTGTAGATAAAGAGCTGATCCCATCCTATCATGCTTTATTATGTCCTGCAGGAGTGGACCAACTAGTCAAGTCCTACAGATGGTCATTTTTTTTCTTTATGAAAATAAGTGATCATGATGTCTATGGAGATTCTCAGTTATCCAGATCATAATTATTTCAAAGGTTTTTTTTTTCAAACCCAACTGGATTGCTTTTTTTCCCTAAGAAGAAAACATTTCGCTTCTCATCCCTGACGCTTCATCCGTTGTGATGGTAAGGAGATGGAAATATAGGTTCCATCTCTGCACTATCCAGTCTCAACTGTCAATTCCTGCCCTTTTATCCCCCCACCTTCACAACTGATGAAGTTTCTTGGATGAGAAGTGAAACGTTTTCTTTTTCCTCCTCCTCAAGGAAAAAACAGCCCAGTTGCCTTTTGAAAAAAAAACAAAACCTTTGAAACAAGTGATTGTGAGTATTTTTATGGTGAAAATACTTCTTTAATATAGAATTATATAATATCTAGTTCCCTTCCTAGATAAGATGTTTTAAGTGATGGAACTCTACACAATTCAAACATATTTGCAAGAGTGCGAAAGAAGAATATAGAATATATTTTTGTTGCTGTGATGAATCCTGTTCTAAAAGATGGAAATAGCATCATCAATATCCTGTGTCTTTCAGTACTTTCAAAAAGCACTGATCTTGGTTGAAACTTAGACTGACTTGTGAGGATCTTTTCTTCCAATCTTCCAGTCTCTGCATTTTTCAACGGATGTTTACAGAACATCCTGCTGGAAAACAATTATCTGGGCTTGCTGCATGGGATCTTGGGGTTCTACAGGCCTCATTTTGCCCATTTTTAAAAATGTTTATATAGAACTGAGTGAGGTCATTCACAAAATTAGAATGAAGTGTCGTCAGTTTACTGAAAACTTCCAAATTTACTTCTTTTTACTGGATTTTGTTGTGGGGAGATTGAAATCAATAAGGAAATTTAGCAGCAACCTGGATGACAGCCAACAAACTGAATTTAGGCAGCATGGAGATTCTGTTGATTGGTGAGTCATATGATTAACAAGGTAGTAGATATACCCTCCCTCAAGGATCAGATTTGTAGCTGGGTGTGCTTCCGCATCAGGAAATATCATTGCAGCCCAAGGCTTTTTTTCCCTGTCATAAAATATCTTTTCCCAGCTCATGTTAGTTATGCCAGCCATGATGTTGTTCGTGTGTGTGTGTGTGTGTGTGTGTGTGTGTGTGTGTGTGTGTAAGTAGGTAAGTATGTCTTAGTATGTTTTTTGAACCCAGTTATTCTTTGAATAGCATAGTTTATAGCAAGCCCTAACCTGTGCGGCCTCAAAATCTGTAAACATTAACTCTCAGAATTTTCATTAATGGGCATGCTGCTTGAAGAATTCTGGGAGTTAAAATCAACATAGTGTGAGGATACATAGATTAAGAAGCATTTAGTGTCACGTGTAAATCCTAATAACTGTAGTTTGATCAGTAAACCATGGTTAAGTTGATTTATGAATTGAGCCTAAAGATTGTATTGATTTAATTTTTATGTTGTCCATCTCATTGTAGAGTGATACTGGGTAGCTTACAAAATTGTTGTAGGTAGATAATAGCTTTGAAGAGTTTTTAGATATTTCAATTGCTATAAAATGCAGTAGCTATTGAAAATGAAAATGTGAAATGTGAAAGACAAATTTTTAAATTTTTAAACTGTTTACACTATTGATACTTATTTATAAAGCTCTAAATAAATTGATAACTAGCCACTTGATTGACTGTATCTTAATTCATAGAATAAATGCTAAAAATGTTAAGCTATGTTTGATTAACTATAGTTTATTGAAAAGCTCACAATTGTTTGGGTTTGCACAAGACAATGTCAAACCAGGGTTGGTGATAATAGCTACAATGACAAACTACACTAAGCCAGACTTAAATAAGCCACATTAGGCTTAGAATGCTGGAAAAATACTACCATTATTTTTATTCTCTGGCTTGTCTCTGAACTCCTACCTGGAGCAGTTGAAAGAAGAAGATTCCGAGTTATGGTTCCCCTACTTGTAGAAAACATTCTTCATGGAACTCTGCTAAGTCCCATGTTAGGGAAACATTTTATTGGTATTCTATAAAGTAATCTGATTATTAATTATAGTTTATCACTAGGGCTGATTTTATGTTTTATTCCATCTGGTTGAAGCTGCTGCTACAAACTACAGGTGTCTGTCTCCTGTAATATGATGTAGTCATGTAATAAATGGAATAATTTAACATAGTGTACTGTGGGAAATGCAAACACAGTTGCTTGGGAGGATAGTCGCAGTGGATGAAGTTGCACAATTTGGAGGATGCTATTTTTATTGCTGAGGAACTGTGAGTGGCATACCTGGGAAAATTTTTAATAAAGAAAATACTTGTATTAATTAAAATTAGAATGTAAATATATGCATTTCACTATATACATTTTCAATGATATAGAAAATTATTTCAAAACTTCTCTTTACAGAAAGTGCAATGTGCAATGTGATATGCTCCTTTTAGAATCTATGTATTAGCACAATAATGCATCAGAAAGTTATCGAATATAGTTAGAACTTGATTTTCGAACACAGTTGAGCCCAAAACGTTGTTGCTGAGAATGATATTCAAGTAAGTTTTACCCTGTTTTGTGACTTTTCAGGAGACAGTTATTAAGTGAATCACTGAAATTGTTAGTAAAATGTTTGTAAAGTGAATCTAGCTTTCCCATCGACTTCTCTTGTCAGAAGGTTGCAAAAGGTGATCACATGACTCCAGGACCCTCAACTGTCATAAATATGTCTGAATTCTGCCATGTGACCATTAGGATGCTGCAGCAATTGTAAGTGTGAAAATAATCACAAATAACGTTTTTCAGTGTCATTGTAACTTTGAATGGTCACAAAATGAATTGTAAATCAAGGACTACATGTACTAAACTTGTTTATTGATTTTTTAAGTTACAGAATTAATGTAAAATATGATTTATTATGAAAGAAGACAATTTATCCATAGTTATGTCATATATAGATATAAACCTGAGGTGTATCAGGTGCTCCATGAGTTGATAAGGATTATTGGAGAGATTCTAAAATTTTATAGTACCAGAATTCTTGAAATAATGAAATTGTGTGGACCTCTTCCCATTATTAAAATAAATGACTTCATTGGGGTTAGAGTTAGTCAAGAAATACATATATCACTTTTAATAATTCCGTGTTAGTAATTAAGTATTAATCTGTATTTCACAAGGACTCTCAACCCACTGGGGCATGCTGCACAGACAAAGGTGAGGAGCAAAACCTGAAGCAAGTTGGATGCTTGTGTGTCAGATTATGTTTAAAACAAAATTATGACCCCTGACTTGGTTGCTTATGATGCCTAGAGTTCCTCAACCTACACTTTGAGAATATTTGAATTATGACATTGTGACACATTATTAGGATAATATTATTTCCAATCTTGGGTTAACATAAGCAGTGGTCAATGAAGTCATTATTTCCTTACCCTTTATCTCCAAGTTCTAGATCTTCAAGAGTTTTAGTTATTACTTCATCGTATATGCTGTTCTATTTCCAAAGTCTTTGAACTGGTTCCAAATATGAATATAAAGATAAAACATGTAAACTTAAAATCAAGAGAGCCACAACATGGCAACAAAATTTTCAGTAGTAGTTACACAGGTGAACCTAGGTATTCCCAAAATTACTCAGGTTGCTACATGCTGCTGCATGCTGAACTAGCTGAAACATCCAATATGATCTTCAACAGCAGTCCAGCATAGAATGAATTGCAACAATAGGAGATGATAAGGCATTAAAGATCAAGAGCAAAGCTTTCTGTTACAGAGGTAGCTGTAAATAGTGCACAGAATTCAAGTGCATGAAAACCTGATCATAACCTACATGTATAGTTCAAGCAGGAGCTGTGAATTCAAGAAAAACCCCAGATTGTAATCAAGTGATCATTGTTTTTTTGTTTATATACTCTTAGTTAAATAAGGCAGTCTAATTTAACACAGTTTGAAATCTTGTCAGTATGTTTTCAGGAGGAGAGGAGAGGGTCATACTATTAGTTTGTAATAATAAAATAATTTATTTTTAATCCTTTTAATGTATTAAATCCATCAGTGCATCTTGCAGTTTTTATGATTAAAGTAAAAATCTTTGTAAAAATTATAAATAAATGACTTAACTAAGTAATTAGAATCATATGACAACATAACCCTGACTAATAAAGGAGAATATTTACAGCTCAGGATTGAAGGGAAGAGATCCTTGGTGCTCTCTGAGCCTGGCAGTTTTCTTGCAGACATTTCATTACTCAAACTATGTAACATCATCAGTGCTAATCTTAGCACTGCTACGCGCTGCCAAGCTCCAATGATGTTACCAAGCTCAGAGAACACCTAAGACTCCTCATAGCCCTATCAGGGTTATTCTTATATTAATATTGAAAACCCTGTGGAATATTTAGGCTTAACTAACTTCTACAAGACACCAGCAGCAGTTACTTCAATGAAAATCACTCAAGATGAGTTCAGACTGCTTGGAGAAAGTGGTACCAAACCATAAACACTTCTACAGTAACATTAGATTTTTGAATTGTACCTGGAATCTATTGGCATGAATGTGGGGCTCATAAAATTGGTGCATAATACAACCAACAAGTAGACCACTACTTTCTTATTTAATTGCATTTCTGAATAATTTTCAAAGAAAGTTCCATATAGAACACTGCAGTAATCCAGACAAATTGACGAGGACATGAAATAGTCCAGCAAAAAATATCTACTCCAGTGGGGCTGCTCAGGCACATCATATAAATTATGTGATTTATAAATTTAAATGTTAAAAATAGGCAAAGGGCCTGCTGGCCATGACCTCCACTTCCCCTCCAGCAGCAATCAGGAATCCAAGAGGATCCCTAAATTGTAAACTTGCTCATTTGGAGGGAAGAACTTTCCCATAGAGTGACAGCATTAGAGCTAATGGGACTCTAATGATCCAGTTGTAACTCCCATCTTCATTTCACTCAAAATTATTTTATCCTAGCTGGGCTTAATAATTTCCAGGCAGGGGACAGTTGCTGCACATTTTTAGCTAGGCCAAGAGTTTTGATATAGAATTGATTAAGTATATGATGGTATCTCCTTCCAAAACACTGGGTAACTTTTCCAGTGGCTTCAGGTGTGTTAAACTGGAGAAGAGATTGAGCTGTACAGCTACTGACCTCAATTATTGACTTATAGAGTCAAGTGGGAATGGAACCCCACCCTTTTCAGCCAGTCCAGGAAAAATACCATGGTCAATAGTGTTAAGGCCATTGAGAAACCTAGTAGGACCAGGATCTCATCCGTCTCCTGAAAAAAGATGATCTGAGTAACCAATGTAATTTAAGTTCTGTGACCATGCCTGAATCCTGACTGGAGAGTCCAGATAATTCCTTTTGCCAGTGTACCATATGGCTGCATCCTTGAAATGGAATTTTGGGACACTGGGCAAAATGGGCACATTGAGGGAAAGTATGATGGGATTTCCTGATTTTGGGAATGTTAGAGGAAGTTTCGAAAATACTGTAAAACTAGGACAGTAGACATTTTTGTGGACTCAGATAAAAGATCAGCATCCTCCCCATTAAACTGCTTAGGGCCTCTCTATTGCCTTTTATCTTCTTTCTATTTTAATGAATTACATAGGTAGTCTTTCACTTAAAAGGACATTGAGATCAGAAGCAGCCATGTGACCAGATCCAATTTTTGAAACATTTTACAGCAGTTAATTGAATCACATGGTTGTGAGACCATATCTCATTGTGGTTAAGCTGATCCTGTGATCATAAATTCGAATCCCTTCTTTTGAATGGACCCACAAATTTTGGTCTTAAAAAAGTACTAAATCATGGTCATGTGACTGCAGGACACTGGAATCAGTTGTAAATGTGAGCTGGTTGTCAAGTACTCACAATACAATAATGTGACCCTGTGAAGGAGTGTATGACATGATGGCTGGTAGTGCTTTACTAGCTGTCATTAAACAGCTGGTTGCAGGTTGAGTACAATCTGTAATTGAAAATGAGATCAGGGTATAGATACACAGTTTACAAGATTCTCTAACGCTTTTTCTCTACAAATCTGCCTGCTCTGAATCTTGCTTTTAACATGCTGCAAAGGGCTTAATATACAGTTCCTTCAAGTGCCTTTGGCAATTTCCCAGGTCCAGACTTGTCCTAGGTTTATGCAGGAACCACGGGAAAATGGATTGAACCTACTGGCGGTGAAGATCATGCCAAGAGCAACCTATCCACTTCAGAATTACCAATTCTGTACCACCAGCTGTCAAACTGGGTTCCATAATTTGGAAAATTCTCCAAGCGCCTTCCAGACCATCCCTCCCATCCCCAACCAGCAGACATTGTGGCAGATGATACAAATAATCCTGACAGCCTTGTAGATTCCCTGTTAGCAGTCAATTACAATTGGACTAGGAAGTGATCAGACCACAGCAAAGGCAAGCAGCAATGTCCCCCACATTCTAGTCATAAATTAGTTACTCAGTCCAGCATATATCTGCCTTCATTATCAGCCAGAGATTACCTGAGGCAAGCCATTCTATATGGAGATCATAAATTCTCTCACTTTCTTCAGCTGAGTTTCTAATAATGGAAGAAGCATCTAACATCTGGACTCTAGATCAAACCCAAAATAGTTCAAGGAGCTCAAGAAGTGAGACCCGAGAGCAACCAATCTACCCAGCTGGTCTCTTCAGCCCATGTAACATTCAGGCGGTTGCATTCTTTGTGGCTTGGCACCTGGGCATCTCCAGGGGTGCATACTCTGATTTGAACTGACCCCAAGTAGCTCAGGAGAAGCTACTAGTTTCCCACCTTCAGAAAGTAAATAGAACCAAGGGCAGAGATGCTGCTTATTAATAGCACCAGTTCTCTAGAATAGCCTGCCACAAGAGATTAGACTGGGCCTTCCTCAGATGATGAAGAAATTTTTTTAATGTGGTCCATGACCAGCCTGTAAAACACCTTACATAAAACTGAAATTTAGTGACTTAAGTAAGCAAATCAATAAAATAAAATCTCTGCATGTCATATCTATTTGAATCCGAAAGCAAATATTTTAAGTGAAACTAGTCAGTTACCCAAGATACTTAATTAGGTATGGAGTTAACAGTTCAGAGTAAGTACTGTATAAAAATACAATTCAAATGTTTTTAAGTTCTTTATATCACATAAGCTGCTGAAAATTGTTTTAGACTGTGATACGATATTAACTTTTCCCAAGCAGGGTTTCTGATTACGAATAAGATGTTTCTAAAAATCAAACATTTGTCCCTATTTCCCTGTTCAGGCTTACCATTGAAATTGCTTCAGGATCTCCAAAATAGGATAATATCTATAAGAAAGACGTCCTTGCCTCATCCAAGGAAAGATCTGTTGGGTTTGTCTGTTGTTCCATAATTAACATTGTGATCCCCTCTCTCCCTAATGGTAGTCAGAGTTAATATTTACAGCAGCAGAAGCAGGAATGTTAAACTACAGTTACCAGCTATCTCACTAGAGATTGGATCCACTCAATTGGAAGCTGTATACAGCTGTGTTAGCTTAGGGTAACGAGTCAGATCAAGTTTGGTATCACCTTTTCAGATTAACAGTTTTTATTAAAACCTCAAAGCTTTCACAACCACAACTTTTACAATCTCAATCTTGTTCTTCACTACAATACTGTAATATTAAGAGCTCTGTTCAATATACAAGCAAGAATAATATTACCAAGAATAATATCTGGGTTTGTTTGCTGTGCATCCTTGTCTTAGTTTCTCATCTTAAGGTAGTAAAAAAATGTGAATGTCCAAAAATGTCTTCAACTTGTTCAGGGAAATCTTGTTTTAAAGTCTATTGTGTTTTATAGTCATCCCTGTGGGGTTTAGAAGTTGCTGGCTATACCAATTCCATTTTTATCTCTGACATTTTCTTTTTAATTTTTTCTTCCCCTTATTTCTTTTTGAAAATCATTCTGCTTTGTCTTATTAGTCCCCTTGGGTCTAGTTTTGCAGTCCTAGGCTCTAAAATTCTTTTAGAGTCAATGCTAGAATTAAATGAGCTTGAAATATTTGAGGCAAATCTTCCATTACACCAATCTATCATTGTTACCCTCACTGTCACAATGTTAAAATATTAATAGCAGAACATTTTAACAAATTTTTATTCATTGTATTTCAATATTATTATTTCTTTTTCAGAGTCCTGCTTTTTAACATAAAACATGTTTTATTTATTCAGATATACTGGTTGTTTGGATAGCTATTTTGGTAATAACTTTTAAAATTGAGTTCAATGACAGTTGTACAGGTGTAAATAAAACAACACCAGATTGTGACCTTCCTATCAAGAGCCAAATTAGAATATGGTACCAGTGCACGATATGGGATGGCA